AACTCCTTATTGTTTTCTGCACGTTTATCCTCCCACCAGCAGTGCTCAAGGGCTCCCTTTTCCCACATTCCTGCCAACACTTATCTCCTGCCTTTTTGGTGGCAGCCATCCCGACACCTGCGAAGCAGTGTCTTCTCGTGGTGTTCATCATGGGCATTCCCCTGACAACTAGTGACGTTACACACCTTCCCCCGCGCCTGTAAAATGGGAGTGTGCTCTGTAAGGTAGTTCGTATTATGGCTCCCTGTTCATTTCTTGGATGTGCTGTGCTCTGGTTATGCACGATGGTGAGGTTTGGGGGATCTGTGTGAAGCGCCCACTCCTGCCTCAACATTCTTTGCCCTGTGGCTCCTTCTGCCCAGATGCCTTTTCCCCAGATAGCCGCACGGTTTGTTCATTCATCCCCTTCCTGTCTTTACTCAAGCATGTGGTGGCCTGAAATGTCATCGGTGTTTCCACGGTAGGAGGATGTCGTTCAGCCAAGCCACGCCCTTCCCATTTACTTTTTAGGAAATAACCCCACAATCCTCCCATTGAGACCAGGAAGGAAAACATCAGTGGTGGGGGAGGCTGAGTCAGTGAGTCATCTTTCTTTGCTGGAATAAATGAAGGTCAAGGGTAGGAGCCATGAGTGGGGCCTGCCAACGTCCAAAGGAGGGTGTTGTTAGGCAGGACAATAGGCAGCTGCTGCCCACCACTGCCCTGCACAAGGGCTGGCCAATGACTGAGGCCCGTGGCGCCCACTGTCCCGTCACCGCCAGGGGTCAGATGTTCCCCGACACTACGTGTTCAGAGGGCGGGGCGCACGGGTCCACTGCGCGCTCTGTCCCATGCAGGACCCACGCCCACCGCGGGGATGGGAGGGGGCTGGACCCTGTCAGAGAACTTCACAGAAGGCTGCTGAAAACCCTTTACCCCTTTCCATCCACTCTTTGATTCGAGTCTCACAGCAGTTTGTGATGGAAGGACGCTGGCCCATGAACATTTCCTCCATTCTCAGATGTGGAACCTAAGGCCAGCTTTGGGTATTTTGCTTAAGATCACACAGTCAGGAAGCTATCCCAAGTCAGCTTTTAATCAGGGACCACGACGCCTCCACACTGTTGCATTTCTTCCCAAGACTAGTCGTTGTTGCATGTGTGGACGTGTTCGGAGTTCAAGGGCAGAATACTTGGAACATGGGATTGTGTGTTTGAATCCTGCCTCAGCCACTTAGGAGCTGAGTCATCGTGGGCATGGCTTCCCCTAAACCCTTTTGAGGTTCATGCTGTCCTACTGTGGGGAAAGTCTGAGAAAGTGCTTTGCAAACTGCAAACCGTCTGCCTGTTGCTCACTAGTGGCTGTGTGGGGACAGTGAGAAGGGTTCGTATTCCACGGCTCGTTACAATTATCAAATGGCCACAATACAAACAGCAGCTGCGTTACGGGTGTGCGGTGCGGTGCGGTGCGTGGCTGGTGGATTACCTCCTTCAGTTTTCACTATAACTGAGCACAGTGTTGGGTTTTCTGCTGCTCTGTAACCAACTTCCCAAGCCCTGGCGACTTACATTCACAACAATCATGCATTCTCTCTCAGCCCCTGCCTCCTGCCAGCCCTCGGGATGGAAAATTCCACTGTGGGTGTGGTCATCTGTCGTTTTACAAGGGTTTCTGGAAGTTGCACCACCAGCTACTGTCGGCAACTCCTACTTAGCCATGTGCAGGGACAAAGTAGCCCCAGGGCTGGTGCCCTCTGCTGGCCAGCTGTGTGCCGGTGGCCTCCAGCCCTGGGGCACCCGCACTTTGGTGCCAGACATAAGCCTCTGCTTTGGACAGGACAGGACAGGACATTCAGTCTTACTTACCTTCTTCATTTCTGTCTGTTGGCTTCAGACCTACAAGGTGCTGCTTCTTTCTTCAACAGTGTCGTGGGTTTTTTGTTTGTTTATTGTTTTGTTGTGGAGGGAAGAAAAGTGTGTATGTGAGCAGGGAGGACAAAGAATAAAGCACACTTTGAGCCAAGTTTTTACTGTTAAAAGTTCATATACTAATATATTTTGGTAAATCATATTACTAGTCAAACATAATTTGATTCCTGTAAAAAAAAAGTCTAATTATTTTCTAGGCGTGGATGGATTTGCATCTCCATTTTTGTTGTTGTCTGTTATTTTAATTTGTAAATCTCCGCACCCAGTTCTAGGCTAGAAAGGGACCCCTTTCTGAGTGACTTCCAGGGAATCACTGTTAAGAATTTATTGTGCAAAAAGAATGACTAAGATGCTGGGCGGAACAGTTTGGGATCAGAGAAATGTGAGCCATCCTATCTTCGCTTTCCAGAACCTTATCATGCAGCCGAGGCACAAGACTGAAAACCAACTGTAACACAAGACAGAGTGCAATCCAGTCCAGCGGGAGTTGCCAAGGAGTGCACCACGACAGGAGGACACTGCAAACTGGACCGGTCAGGAAAAGCTCCAGAGAGAAAGCGGGATTTGACTAGACTGGGGTTGGCGGAGGAGGCGCCTTTCACAGGTGAGGGGGATATGAGCGAAGGTGGGAGAGGGCGTGGGGCACACGAGGTTTGGGCAATGATGAGATCTGCTCGGTCAGTTGTGTTGGTACAGAAAGGTTCACCTTACCTGGGGACATCCTGGGTCTGAGATTGGGATGGGTTGGGGAGTAGCTGGGATAGGTAGGGTGCGGGCTGCCTGAGTCAGCAGGAAACCACTGAGAGTGTGAGAAGAGGGGTCCCTTGATTAATCCGGGGGCCGTGGTGGGACCAGCTGGGGCTTCGGTATGGAGACTGGCACAGAGGCCCAAGAGCTGCCCCTGCAGAGGACGGCCCCGGTGGGCCACACCTTGACTGTCAGGCAGGTGAGGGAGGAATGGGCAACACGGCAAGATCCTGCGCCTGCACAGCTGGGAGAGGAAGTGCAGCAGCGACAGGCAGAGACGATGGGGCGGCAGCATTTATACTGGAACAGATCCCTGTGGGAAGAACAGCCTTTCTGCTACTGTGGTGCTCACGTCTGGGTGAGCCGGTGGAGGCGATGGCTGACGGACGCAGGTGACCGACTGTGGGCGAGGCTGTCTGTGTGCAGCCTGGTGTTGATGGAGAGTGAAGCTGCCGACCTGCTTTGTGGCGCACTGTGCAGGGGTCGGGGACCCTCTGGAAGCCACGCCGATATTCTCCAGAGTCCACTGGGGGGCTGGGAAGTTCCACTGTTCAGGTGGACATCTGGCCATCTGCATCATTTCATCCTATTCTCTTAAAATGACCTTAACAGTCTCCTTGAAATTCATCCCTCTCTTGCCCTTTGCCGCTGGTTGGGGTGGGGGAGCAGCGAGTAACCCCCATTGTATTTCTGGGCAAATACACAGTTCAGGAACGAGCACCGAAACCCAGTTTAGGATTTCTCTTGTGCCACTTGGGAAGCAGCCTTTCTGGCTCTTTCCCACTGGACTTGAACCTGGGAGGACGGAAGGCTGAAGGGGCTGCAGGCGTCAGGCTACACGTGGATCCGGCAAGTCACGTCGGCACAGCCCGGACACCCCAGGTGTCTCTTAGTAATTTACTTTCAATCGTTTCCGCGGGAGCACGGCCTTGTCTGTGCGCAGAGCAGCATCTGTGCACCTCCCAGGGCTTTCTGACCGGCACTGGAAGCCCCCTGGTCGTAAACCCACCCTCCACAGGGAGGCACGTGAGCCCTGTGCGCAAACTCACGGGTGGAATGAGGAAGGTGGACTACCCTCTCCTCTCACTCCCTGTGTGAACGGAATGTAGAAATCCCGCCAGCCCCATGGGCCAGTCCTGGACACGGGCTCTGCGGGTCTGTGCTCCTCTGGCCCAGGTGTCCGTCCCTTCGCCAGAGTACGACCCTGTGGGCTCCCCACAGAGTGCCTCTTTCAAGCCAAGGGCTTGCTGCAGAACCAGAAGACAGTGAGCCTCGCAGAGCTTGTAAGAATAGGTAACGTTGGGGAGGGAATTGCCCCTCCAGCCTTCTGAGCTCTTTGACTCAAGCCGCCTGTGGTAAAAGACAGATTAACAAGAGAAAAACAAACAGAAGTCTATTAACACGTGTCCCTAAGGTATACATGGGAGAAACTGGAGAGGACATGAGTAACTCCCCAAGGTGACATCAAATTCAGGATTAAATTGCATCTTAATAAGGGAAGGGGAAGTAGGCTCTTTGGGGAGACACTGACTTTTAGGAAAGGTGAACGAATGGGCCCTTGGAAGATGGCACGGCTGATGGTTTGTGACCAAGTGTGTCTCAGTGGGGTGTCGACTTCAGGTCTCCTCTCCTGCGACAGCGTCAGTCTTCCCTGGTTGATGAAACTCAGGGACGGGGCTGATGGCGCTCCAACTCCTTTCGGAGGATCTGTCTAGTTTAGGCAGGTAAGCGAAGATCAGTGAAAGCCTCTCACAGTATTTCCTGTTTCTCAAATGCCTGCAGCTCAAAATAATGTACCAAAGTGGCTTGTCTTGGACTGGTGTGCCCTGAGCTCCTACACACGTGGTTTGGGGTGTCATATCCTGCTACCCCCCAGTTCCATGATTTCTGTGTGTGTGTGTCTGTTTGCTAAGCACATTTTTATACATTTTTCAGGTGTGGGTTCAAGATTTGCTTTGTAGATCAAGCCCCTGGTAGCAGGGGGACGGAGTGTACACAGAGTCCCCATTTACCTCGTACAGCTAAGTGACGCTGATGTGACTGTGAGATCCCTGCACTTGTGGAGCCGTGAACTTGCCCTTGGGCTGAGCTGAGAGAGGGAAGGCGTCAGGTTCTGATAACATTCACTACCCCTGAATTCAGCTGTGACCTCTGGACCGTCCATCAGGGAGGCAGCACATTCCCTCCCTGCTCAGACACTTTTTAAAAATGCATCTTTGAAAGGGTTCTAACTGACTAGCTTTTGGATGACTGCCTATTGTAAGGGTAGAACAATGCATAGAAACAAAGTAGCACCATCATCCCTGCAAAGACCGAAACACCACACACACGTAAAAACAAACTCTGTTCAGTTGGCTCCACTTTATTCTGAGGTTTACATTACAGATAGCACAACTCACAAACGTACCAGTGGACACCGAAAACTAAGGCCATTCTGTGAGTTATTTTTAAAATTTGGTGTTTTGCACATAATGATCCTTTAAAAGACAAATTACCAAAACTAAGATTCTCTTCCGAAGTAAAAATGTAAGATGGGCACAGACCACTTCACAGCCATATCCAGTCTGAGGCCCCCCCACCCCCGGTGATGAGACCCCGTGCATTCTCGACAGCACACCTAATGGCGCTCAGGCGGCCGCTGCCTCAGCACCGTGCTCCCCTCTCCGAATGGCATCAAAAGTGGTGTTTACCGCAGTGCCCGGCGATCCATGAGCTGCTCCCCATGGGCAGCAAGGAGACTTCTACCTAAGAAACATGCTGCAGAATTCTTGGAACAAGTAAAAGAAAGGGACCTGTAACTAAGGCACTGAAAGCGCATTATTTATATAAAGAAATGTAAACAATTGAACACCATCAAGTTCCCTCCACTTAGTCTCTATTGGAAGCGTGCGGGCGTGGTGGTCGTGCGGGCGTGCGCGCGCAGTCCGGGCTCGGCTCCCACGTGCAGCTTCTGGCGAGGTGCTACGGAAGGAACCAATTTCCCAGTGACTCGGGAGGAGGCTGCTATTTCCCCCATCTGTGTTTTAACCGTGTAACAAACAGGGAAGGGTTTTCGCAGGGGTTTTACATTAGAGGCTCTATCACATGTTTCTCTAGTTAGTCTTTTACCGTGTTTGTTCTCCTACCGAATCTCCAGGTCCCCGGGGCTTGTTTCATCAGAGATGTCTGGTGCCCTTCCTCGCGGGGCCCTGTTTTCAGTGTAAGGGGGTTCTGGTCCTACATCCACCACACTCGCTGTATCTAAAACGTCCCTGCGTGGTCAAGATTTAGCAGGCGCACGCAGGGCAATGAGCTGACCTTCCAAGGCCTGATGGGAGTCGAGTGTGTGTCCCGCGCCTGCTGATTCTGCAGCGGTGGCCCAGGAAGGTATGGAGGGGTCTCTGCCGAGGCCCATGACCACGCTGAAGCTAACTTAATTCCGCTATTTTCCTATCGACTTTAGATAGCTTTCACATCATGAACTGCATTATTTCTTTCAGTTTTTTAAAAATAAGTACACGTGTAGGAAAACATATAAGCAACTCTTTTTTCTTTTTGACATTATTTCTAATTCTTATAAGGAAGTACATGCTCTCTCTATTCCCCAGTATCACTGCTTATGAATTTGGGGTAGGTAAAAAAAAGTTTGCATTTTATCTTAAACATGTTTGTCATGGTCAAAAAACATTTTTAAAAAGAAAAGGCTTTCCCTTGTGCCAGCTCCGACAGCTAAAGAGGACACAGACCTCGAACTGTGGGGCTGCAGGGAGGGCGGCAGGCTGCAGCGTGAACACCTGCAGGGCGGGGGCCCGGCTTTCCTCCCGTGTCCCGGACACACAATCCCGAGTGTTAGGACTAGTTCTGTGTTTCCAAATAAAACCAAAGGAGGTCCGAGAGAAACCTAAATTACAAACCTCCTTTATTCAGAAAAAATTAAAATAAAAAAGACACCCTAAGAAACCTATAGTCCTACAGCTGCGTTTGCAGCAGATGTACCCAATAACTGATTAGTAGCTCCCAGCAAGATTGCAAACAGCCCGCAGGCCGCAGCTACCCGTGAGCTGGTGCTGGTGCGTGGGCGTAGAAGCACTAGTTAGTCCTCTTCCAACAGGGGCCGTGTGTGAACAGCAACTGCCGAAAACAGCACTTTCTGAAAGAAGCTGCCCGGTAAGTTTGGCTCACAAAGTGCTTACCTCTCATGTTAACGCGCGTTTCGCTGTGGGGTCAAAGTCAGTGTGGAGCAAAATGAGTTGTAACGCAGGGGAAGGTGTTCACGCCAAAGCGCTGCATGAAGCAGAAGTGGCTCTGAGGCTGGGTGAGGTGGGGGTACCGCCGGCAAGTTTGCTAACAGCTAAGACTTTTAAAGGCCTCGGATTTTCTGCTGCTCTGACCAGCATCCTCATTACTGTCACCGAGAAAGCAGTGCGGGGGGGCCCCCAGCAGGGTGGAACTGACCCCGGTTTCTGGGCCTCAGCAGGAGGTCGGTGCTGTTGGTTTGCTGGGTTTTCCACTGACTCCAACTAACAGGAACATGTAGGTGAACTACTGGTTGGAAATGTTTAAATTTTACTATTGAAGGAGGAAGCCTGGGGCTAACAGTGAGACTCGCGCCCTGTTGTTAGAAAAGAAGGACCCGCTTTTACATCAGTTTACTTGGGGGGGGGGCAGGGACGGGGACACTGCAGAGGCTGCAAGGGCGGTCTGGCCAGGGTGAGCTGCTGCTTGGCTGTTGCCGCCTTCACGGTGGGAGTGAGAGCACCGCGCGCGTAGAAAACATATTCACCTCCCTTCTCGGGCGGGTTTCACAGAAGTATTTCAAAAGACACAACTTCAAAGGAGGGTTTCTGACTGCAATAACAGAATGTTCCATGCTTTCCTTTAAAAATGTTAAGTGGTTTTTACTGTTTTTAACAGAGAAGGGGCTACACCTGCCCACACGCCCTAAAGACACCAGCACTAGGCATGCGAGATTAAGTAGAAGAACTAGAATGTATTAATTTCCTACCTGTAAAAGTTCAAACTAAGGTTTCCAAGTGGGAGCCCGTGGCTGCCCCGAGACATGTCCAGGTCTCATTTTTCATGTGAGAACAGGGCACAGGTGGACTTCCTGTCAAAACGTTCAGTCAGTTTAAGGACAAGAGATGTCTGGTTTCTGGTCTTAAGGAAGGATGCGATGGTTTGACTGGCATGGCGGAGCTGAGGGGGCCAGGGCGCAGGAGGAGGGCCTTCACCCTGGCCTCGGACAGCCTAGCACCAGCATCTGAGCTGGGCTGGTGCTCAGAGCCCAGACCTGCCTCTGGGCTGGGTGTTGGTGAGGAAACGGGATGGAGCCCCTGGGAAAATCTTGTGTGTGCCTCGTCTGTGAACGGCCTGGTGATTGTTTAAGAATACTCTGGCCCGACTTATGTCATAGCGATTGCTCCCCGCTATGCGTATTGAAATTACATTAAGAGATTTAAGGGAAAAAACGTGTGTAGCAGTATTTTCCCACAAAACTAAGTGCAAAATATCTTTAACAAATAATGATGGTAGTAAGAAATATTTGATGTAGTCATGCAAAAACCCATCTTGGTTTACAAAGGCTTACACTTCCCAAGTACTCCCTAGCTTGTCACGCTGCGAACCTGATCTTACTCATCCTTATTTGCATTTAACTGTGACTGTTTGTGTAAAAGACGGTAACACGCAAGTTCGATGATCTCCAGTCCACCAAAAATTCTCTCTTGCAGCACGAAGATGACAATGGTGATGACAAAATACCACCGAACAAAACTGTACAGATAGATGAGGAGGCACATTGCAGGGCTGAACAGGGTCCAGTACAGGATAGAGAGACATTTGACCACAAGGACCCTGGGCTCAGACTTGCAAGGTGGAATCACGGTCTGTCCAGTGAAGTAAAAGTCCTTCTCCCCTTGGTAGAAGGAGCGCAGCCTCTCCTCCTTCTCCTCCCACCGCTGGTGGCACCAGACCTCCAGGTCCTCCTTGGCCGCGGGCAGGGTGTCCACAGGGTAGCGGCGGATGTGGAAGTGGATCTCCCTGGGGAAGTCCCCTTGCAGCAGGTGCCTCTCCGTCTGAGGGATGTTGTGCGGGTAGGCCACCGTGATGTCGTGCACGGCATCGAGGTTCCTGCCTGGGTTTGGAAGAGAGAAAAAGCAGCAGGGCTGATTCACACTGCAAGGCAGGACCAGAACAGGGAGAAGTCGGAACAGTGTGAACCCTGAGGAGCAGGCAGGGCTATAAATACTGGTGCTCTGGGCACTTGGGTCAAGATTTACCCGTCACTTGGGGGTTTCATCTGCTTGCTAATTACCACAGGGACCTTCCGAAAGAAATGGTCTTCCTCTGTAGAAGTGGTAATCTGCATTCTAGAGCTAAATAAGCACGTAAGTCAGACCTGAGACAGAAATGAAAGGGCACAGGGCCAGCTCTTCTACACCAATAGGATTCATGCTTTGAGGCCCCTATTCAAACACGCTTCTCTCCAAATAAAACACAAACTTTCTCATTTTTAACCCAATATTACGATGACAGCTATGGAAAGAAAAACTTGGAACCCGGCCTGATGAAATGGTCAGAAACTCATAAAAACTTTGTGATTTAAAAAAAATTTTAAAAACATGTTCACAGGAAGTCCGAGTAAGACCCTGACCTGGTACCACCATCACCTTTCCACGCACAGATACATTACTTGGGAGATGTTTCCAGCAAAGTCACATGCTTGATGCTGGAGAAAAAGAGGGGGCCTGACCTCGCTCAGGAGTTTGGGACCCAACCAGGGAGACAGGCACACGCAGAGCTCTAAACAGACCACAGAGCACCGGCGAGGAGAGGGGAGGCTGCCCAGGGGCAGCGTGCACCCCCTTGGCGCGCAGAGCGTGAAAGCAGGCCGGAGGCACACGGGAAAGGCCTCACCGAGAGTCTGAACCTAGCGCTGTAAGGTGGTAGAGAAGCCCCTCATATGGTGCAGAACCACTTCAAGATTTTTAACAGAAAAGGGATCAGATGGTTTCATTTTAGCAAGATTTGCCTTGAGGGCAGTGACAAGAATGGCTTAGAGAGGACCCAGGACAAGAGAGGCAGGTAGAGTGAGCTGAGGGTCATCACGAGGCAGGAAGGCAGGAAATAAAGAGCAGGTAGGGGTGGAAATGCCAGAGCCAAAGGGGGGAACGGAGGAAGGTTTTTATCCACGGTGGGGCCAGTCCGCTGTCCTGGTAACGCCCACACTTGTCCCGAAGTAAACGAAGGTCTCCAGACCACACAGAGCTGCAGGCAGCGCTGTGCTGTGGGCAGGAGAGCTGACTTCTGCGCTCATCCTATGGTGACCCCTGGCCCCAGGGCCTGTAGCCCGGGGTAGCCATCACCGGACCAGTTAACCTCCTCCTAGGAGGTGACCAGGCAGGGGTTGGCGTGGCCGACAGGGCTTGGTTCACATTTGAGTGACAACGATGAAATGAATATTCAAAAGCTGAGATGTGCCTTTATTTCATTTACCAATATATAGTGGAACTAAAAAGAGGCAGTAAAGAGATTCAGAAGAGAGAAATCCTTGCAACTGCAAAGGATTTATACTGTCTTCAAATCTTTCAGTATGAAAATAATTGACTTAAAGATGCAAATAAGTGGCTACCCTCAGTAAAAGCCACTTGAAAAGATCTCGTTGCTTTGTAGACAGTTTAAATTACAAATCTAATGCTGTCTGGGCACTTGTCACCCGCTCACCCGGGGCTCCGACGTGGATCTGTTCTGCTTCCGATACAGTGTATGGATAGGCTCATATTTTACTACTGCTTTGTAAATCCACCATCCTGTTGGGACAACCGTGCTCGCTCGGGTCCCCGGATTTTTCTTTTCTCCCCAGAGGGACTGAATGAGCACTTGCTCAACGCGTGTGTTTCAAATCTTAACTTTTAGTCTTGGACTGAAGCTGAGGGGATTCTGAATAGGTTCATCCTGTTTCATTAACCAAGAGAAGCCGAAAGGTATGACTGGAATTTACCAGTGTAATTACAGGAGGGAGTGTGTCCGGGCAGCCCAGGGGAGCCCCCTGGTTCCTGGAAGAGTCCCGCCTGATGAGAAAAGCTCCCTGGGAATGAATGGGAGGCAGCCAAAGCCTGACACATTCGTATGTTCAAAACGAAAGGACAAAGGAAAGAAAGCCTGGTTTGCCCATGGCTGCTAGAGAGCAGATCCAACTGCATAGTTCAGTGGCAGAGTAAAAGAAATGTAAGCTCTTCAATTTATTTTTAGCCCAAAGTGATCAACAAATTTTGATAACTGAAAATTTCCCCATTCCATAATTAAATATATGCTGAAAATGTAGTTTTTTGGATCTCATTTTAATAGCTGCTTTAAAAATTAAAAATTCTAAGCCTATTTTCTTTTTCTTAAATTTTTTTATTGATTATGCTGTTACAGTTGTTCTATTCCCCCCTTCATTCCCCTCCACCCTACCCTCCCGTCCCCACCATTACCCCCCCTTTAGTTTATGACTGTGTGTCTCAAGTTCTTTAGATTCTATATTTCCCATACTATTCTTGCCCCCCCCATCAATTTTCTATCTACTGTCTATGCTACTTCTCCCCCCTTCTCCTCCTCCCACTCCCCTCTTGCTAACCCTCCTTGAGATCTTCATTTCTATGTTTCCACTCCTGATCTAGCTGTTCTTTTAGTTTGCTTTTGTTTTAGGTGTGGCTGTTAATAACTGTGAGTTTGTTGTCCTTTCACTGTTCATGTTTCTTTAACTTCTTTTTCTTCGATAAGTCCCTTTAACATTTCATATAATAAGGGCTTGGTGATGATGAACTCCTTGAATTTGATCTTATCTGAGAAGCACTTTATCTGTCCTTCCATTCTAAATGAAAGTTTTGCTGGATAGAGCAATCTTGGTTGTAGGTCTTTGGATTTCATGACTTGGAATACCTCTTTCCAGCCCCTTCTTGCCTGTAAGGTCTCTTTTGAGAAATCCGCTGACAGTCTGATGGGGACTCCTTTGAAGTGACTGTCCCCTTAGCTCTTGCTGCTTCTAGGATTCTCTCCTTCATTTTAATTTTGGCTAATGAAATTATGATGTGCCTTGGTGTGCTCCTTCTTGGGTCCAACTTCTTTGGTACTCTCTGAGCTTCCTGGATTTCCTGGAAGTCTATTTCCTTTGCCAGACTGGGGAAATTCTCCTTTATTATTTGTTCAAATAAGTTTTCCACTGGTGGCTGTGCCTTTCCCCCTTCTGGTACCCCTATAATTCGGATGTTGGAGCGTTTCAAGATGTCCTGGAGGTTCCTAAAACTCTCCTCATTTCTTTGAATTCTTGCTTCTTGACTCTTTTCTGTTTGGCCATTATTTGCTTTCTTCTGGTCCACTCCATTGATTTGAGTCCCAGTTTCCTTTTTATTGCTATTGGTTTCCTGTGCAATTCCATTCATTTCAATTAGTTTCGCCTTCATATGTTTGTCTAATTTGTGGCTATAATCAACCAGTTCTGTGAGGATCCTGATCACCAGTGTTTTAAACTGTGCGTCTGAGAGTTTTGCTATTTCTTCATCGCTTAGATTTATAGGCTCTGGGGCTTTGAGATCTTCTTGAGCCATTTTTGGTCTGTTCGTGCCCTTTAAGTGTGAGGAGTGGAGCCTTGGACTCCCAGGTCGCTGGGTTATGATGCTGTATGTGGGGGCGTGGTCGGAGCAGGGAAATGGCGGCGCCCTCTGCTGTTTCGGTCGCTGGGTGAGGAGCAGAGGCTTAGGTGGTTCACCAGGGCGGGGCCACTCAGGTCGCTGGGTTATGACGCTTATGTGGAGGTGGGGTCAGACCAGGGAAATGGCGGCGCCCTCCCTGCTGCTGGCCGGGGGGACCTGCTGGGTCCCGGTCCAATCGCCCACTCCCTCACTTGTCTATCCACGCACAAATGCACGACCACAGTCAACCCGCAGCCCTGCTCCCTCGCTGTTTCTCTGCGGTCGCTCGCTTGGTCGCTCACTAGGTCCAACCCTGTGCCTGGATTCCGAGAGCCTGAGTCCGTCCGACTGAGTTTTCCTGTGCAACCCCACTCCGCCAGCTGCTGGTTTCGCCCCTTACCGGTCAGGCTGAAGAATTCGTTGTTATCAGACTTCCGAAAAGTTCAATTTTCTATGTTCTGGCTGTGTTTTCTGTTGCTAATATTTAGTTGTCTCTAAACTTGGTTGTGTGAGAAGGCACGGCGTCTCCACCTATGCTTCCGTCTTGGCGAAAGTCCTATTTTCTTTCTTTTAAAAAAATATTCTATTTATTTACTTTTAGAGACAGGGGACGGGAAGGAGAAAAAGAGGGACATCAATATGTAGTTGCCTGTCACATGCCCTCTACTGGGGACCTGGCCTGCAACCCAGGCATGTGCCCTGACTGGGAATCAAACCAGCAACCCTTTGCTTCACAGGCCCGTGCTCAATCCACTGAGCTACACCAGCCAGGGACTAAGCCTATTTTCTATTAGTCACATCCAAATCCATAAATCTGACTATACATTAATATGTAACATATTACAGTTTTAGATAAAGCAGCATTGTCATCTAGGATGCTTTGCATGAAAGGAAAATGATGAACACTCAGCTAAGGGGTTAGTTAGCATGTTTCTCAGATATGTGCACTGTTTTTAAGATTAAAAAAGAAAAGTACCCCAATTGGATAAAAGTTGGATTTAGTAACTAAACAATTACTCACTGTGACCCTTTGACACTGACATATAATAAATAGTGGATGGCTAATAAGTGTGACAAATCGGCACCACTCAGCACACTTTGGGGAACAGCTTTGAATAGACAGCTTTGGATATATTTAGACAAAAATACCAATGAATAAGACAACACCAAGCTTCAGAATAAAAGGGCATGCATGAGCCACTAAAATCAGCTGCTACTAGGCTCAAACAGCACTGTCTTCTTTACCAGAGGAAACAACACTGTTTCCTACCAGGAACACTCACTCCTTTTTCCTTCTGTGTCAGTTGTTGGATCCTCGAGGAACAAAAGGTGGAGCCAGACAGCTCCTGGTCCCGCCCCCTGTTGGCCGTGATCTTGAGGAGCCCACCCTAAACTCCCTCAGGATTTGGGAATAACAACACCTCCCCTCACAGGGCTCTGAAGATGAACTGGGATAAGGACT